CCCGGCACCTTTACGGTGCGTGCACGGTACTCACTGTATTATAGGAGGGTGGATGGAAGCCAGAACCGGGCTGGATGTCGTGGAAAAGGGAAAAATATATCCCCCGGGACTCGAACTCCGACCTCTCAGACGTCCAGCCCGCACGTGGTCGCTACACTGACTGCGCTATCCCGGCACCTGCATTACATACATACATAGCCTACAGTGAGAGTGAGAAGCAGAGAAAATAGTCCTCGTGTTTTATATCTTGAAGTTCGCAAGGGAAACCTCGACTAGGAGGGCGGGTATCCCGAGATTTTTCACGAGTTTCTTAGTCGCTCAAACAAATTCTGGGACAGGAATTGAAAATATTGCTACGTGGTAAGTGTGAAGAAGACGCAGTTTGTTCACCCCTGAGAGCAGCGCCACAGACGGAGAAAGTGAACGGAGAAATGAGGGAGCACCAGAAGAAGTGGACAGTCCCATAGAAAGGTAAGGTTCCTTCACTGGTAGACTTTCTGCGTCCTCGTTGTCATGTCCGTACTCAGGGTGACGGCTGCATGCCTACAGCAGTTTGATTCAGTGTTCCGTGGAGGATACGGAGCGGCAATTCCTAACTCGGTACAATATTATGTGGAGGATATGGAACAAAATTTGAAGTCTGATTCAGTATTCCGTGGAGGATACGGAATGGGAATTTGATTTTTTTTTTCAGTAATTTATGGGGTAGAGGGAAAGGGAACTGGAAACTTGATTCAGTATTCCGAGGAGGATGTGGAATGGGAATTTTCAGCTCTATTCAGGATCCGTGAAGGATACAGAGTGAGAGTTTGTTATCACTGAAATACTCGTAGCTGCAATACAAAGCTGTAACACTGGAACGATTCTGTATCATCGTCACGACCAATGAGAGCTACAAAGACAATATACAAGACAGAAAAAACATAAAAAGCAAAAACACAAAGAAGTTTGGGTTAAACCTAAGAACAGTAACAAATACAAATCGAAAGGTCAACACTGCAGAATACTATTTGGGACATGCTTGGTTCGAATCTCCGTGGGGGCATCAGCAATCTTCACTGCCATCTTCAGTGATTTTTCTCAGTCCTTACATGCAAATTCCGGGGTTATACTTCGATAAAGACAAGACAGTTTATTTCGAATTTCCTTCCAATTCATAACTGGTCCATCAGCCTAACATTACGCTACAGGCCTGTACTGTAGCTGCCGACAAAGGACGATAATAAAGGAACAAGACAATGCAACAAAAACAACGCCACCAGCAACAAAAACAAGCCCAACAACATGAACGTTACGGATCACGGTTGATTTGCATTTCGTGATATCTCCCACTGGGAACGGACCGTCAGAGAACAGACAAATCATTCTAAAATATATTTGAAAGGCCGATGTCTGCTGGAGATATAAGGTGACAATATGCATACTAAAGTACATTGGTTCTCTGCGCTCCGGTCCGTCTGCTATCCCTGGCATTTTCTAACTTTCGGTACATACTGACACAGATTCGAGGTTCGGATTTAAGATAAGCTTTTCTTAAAATCCCTTCGTTAGTGCCTTACGTTTATAAACAACGTTACTTGCCTCTTTTAGTGCTAAATACATTTCCTGCGTTTATGGTCTGTCACTGTGACTCGGAGCAAATATTGAAGTTTGACAGGTTAAAGAAAGCTTATCTTTTCATAGAATCTTCTTTTTATATAATGTCAATATACATTTGGGTTACCATAAAGATAAAGGTAAAGATATCCCTAAAACAGGCAGCGGAGGCCCATAGGGTTGTGAGACGTCGAGACTCCAACATTTTCTAGATAATCGGCCCACAGTTATTGGTGATGTTGTCAGCCTTACGCACCGGTCGCCCTTTACCCCCAGGTAGATTCCTGGTACTCATTTCTGTTAGAGACTGAGTCAATCTCAGGGCCATAGTGCGGCAGAAAGCATTAGGTAAATTGAAAAATCCAATAACCTCATCGGGAATCAAATCCGAGATATTCCAGCTTGTATCGTAGTGCCTTAACCAACTACGCTACCGATCGCCCCGACAGGTAGCGTAATTCGTAAAAGGGTTATATTTACAATTTTGCATAGCATGTTTAGATTAGTGTCAATTAATGTTAATAATATAAACAAAAAATAGCAAAAATTAATTATTAAACAAAATATCTTCATAACATTTTCTGTCTTTTTTAAATTACGACGGTATTAAGATTGTGCCGCCGGGGGTGGACACTTAGTTTACCTGCGCTATCACACCTACGTACATAAACTGTACAAACACGCATGCGCCGGCACACAAATAAAGGAGAGTTGATTCACATATCATTCCAGAAACAAGTTTTCTTATGGGAAAGCAGCCAATAATCGTTTAAGCAAAACATCTCACTTGCATAAGTAGGATCGTACATCAGATGTCACAACGCAAATCACCGCGTAATGAAATGACTTCTTTTCTTTCTCCTGAAGTATAGTTTTCAACATGCAACAACATGGCGTAACATATCACCGGTTGTGTCATTCACGTGGTTTTCTAAAACAAAAGTGAATGAAATGCATTTCCTTAAGTAATGCCGAGATAAGACGAAGTTCAATCTTCTGGGATGTGATGCCGTTAGTCCGGTAAAAATTCAGAAAATCATCGAAATTTCTGAGGAATATATTGCCTCCATCTTCAAGGTGGAAGATTAATCCAAGCAATCAGCTCAAAACAAACTGGATTCTTAATGTTTCCTTGGCTTATACCAAGAAGATGAAGTTAGTTCGTTCTTGAACTTCCATCGGATTATGACTGGTCGCTGACCACTCACCTCCAACTAGTACCGAGAACAAAAATACGTGGATACATACACCCACTCCCCCATACGCCTTCATGGCGTATTGCTTTATATCTATCTATGGCTGTACAGCCTTTTGTTGGGCCTTGGCTTTTTTCCAGTTTCTTGATCTTTTACATAGTCTGTAGGACTCCTTTGACGGGGGATCAGCCGGTCGCAAGGCCGCTACCTACACAGGACAACAGAAACATAGAATAAAAGCACACTGATATCCATACCTCAACTTGGATTTGAACTCACGATCCCTGTGTTTGAGCGGGCGAACACGATTCATGATGCCTCAGACCGCGCGACCGCTGTGATCGGCAGTGGGTAGACTATATACAATTTAAATCCCAGAAATTAGAAATTTTCGTGGTCTCCCGTGTGAGAACTTCACATCTCAGAATTTAGAAAACTAGGACTGTAAAGTCGCTTTATATTTGTGTCCAAATAAGAAATATTTATGAAGAAAGCCGTCTTCTTTGATGTGGCGTTAATTGTTTTAACCGACGTTTCGGAAGAACGTATCGCCTACATCTTCAAGGTAGAAGACAAGAAGAAATCCGTGAGCGAACCAGCTAGAGCAGGTGCAGCATCCAAAAAGACGGTTTTCTTCATAGGCACCGCCGCGAAAACCTCAAATCTTACAAGAAGTGTTTATGTCCACCAGTCAGAACAGGAGCAGAAAAAGAAGAGAAAGGCGAAGCATAAGGAAATAACTCACAAAAGCGGGTAATATTCTGAACCAATATGAAGCAATATCAAATTCACAGGGCAGTTCTACTGCAGAATCCCAGTACAACATTGTGCAGAAATACAGATCACGGTCTTCTGAGATATGACTTCATGTAGATTAATGGAGAGGCACTAACATTTCGGAGGAACTTAGTTAGTTAGTTGAGAGGGTGGGTTCCCCCTTCACTTAGACCTGTCTTGGTCCATTGTGCTTCCCTCTATGATATTCTATCAGTCTCTATATCCTACCGGTACTGGTGCTTACCATCAGTCCCGCCCAGCCAGTGAGATCGGTCTCTACTAGCTGAGAGGTATCTATAATGCTTCCCCCATCTACCAGAGGTATTAGAGACTACTGTTGGGCGGGAAACGTCCGTAATTTGGCTCAGTGGTCTCCTTTGGAGACATGAGGTTCTTTTACGTGCCTTAATCTACGACACGGGACCCACGGCTTAAAGTCCCTCCCGGAGGACTTGTTCCCTGAATTTTTCCGCCCTTAAAAATTCGACGACCTCCGCCGGGTATTTGAACCTACGTACGTCATGAGGTGGGAACGTTACCTCTAGACTACGGAGGCCGCTTTCGGAGGAACTTGCTAGCTCCTTCTTCTACGCTGAAGTCTGAGGCAGTAGCTCCCTCCAAAACGGTGATATCTATTTACCAGACTACACGGATTCATATACTAGAATACAACAATCTTAATCATCATCTCAGATTTCATATCAAACTACGCTACTCCGCTACGTCTCAATGGCATTCTACTTAATTACGTTAATTATATGCAGGGATAAACAACGTAGATTTGACCCTTTACTTAACTAATTAATCACTGTGCCATGAAGACGTATGGGGTAATGGAAGTTTTCTTGACCTCAGCATTAGTTGGAGGTGAATGGTCAGCTTCATGCCCCAGCCGCTTTACCCCCGGAGAAAGTGCCTCCTGTACGCATTGGATATGAGGCTGGGTGAGAACCAGAGCCGGTACGGAAGACATGGAGAAGTGAAAATTCTTGACCTTACCGGGACTAGAACTACAAACCTTCGGTCGTCCAGCCAGTAGCCAGTCGCTATACCAACTACGCTATCCCGGCTCTCATGCACAGGGATAACTTTTCTTTCTAATTTACCCGCTGTTACTGATCTGTAAGAGGAGCAACTGAAAAATTACTCTCCATTTCCTAACGGAACAGGCTTTCGTATAGAGAAAGGGGATTCCGTAATCGTTCAAGGAAAACACTAAGAATAATAATAAAAAGTACCACTACCACGTTATGGTTCTGAGAGAGAGAGTTCCGTCTAGTTCGCTGGTGGGAGGGTTTGAAAGAAGTAGGGGAGACAGACACCGGGAGTGGGACAGAGAGAGAAGCGCTGAAGTTCACCTTCGTAACAAGGAATGGCCTGCACTATCGATATTCGCAGCGATAATATCGAAAAGACACAGTATAAATTGCAATAACGTCATTAGGTGACTTGAGCTGAATATATCTGAAAGTCCTTAACACTAATTTGATGTGACGGCGGGTACTGACAGTTCGTTAGTGTTCTGTGTTACGTCTGCTCTCGGTACTTCTCGAGTGAATCTGTGTTAAAGTGTTTCGATATGGCAGACTAGCAACCAAGTGACGTCAGTAACAGTGGAATAAAAACAGTAAGTACGATATATATTGCGCAATACAGCTACAGATAATCAGATTTCGTGATGGAATGGTTAGCACGCCTGTTTCTAATTCGGAAAGTCCTGTGATCAGATCTGATCCCGGTGGCTAGCTGTACTCAATTTGTGTGTGTTTTTTTTCTCATTAGCTCTATGGTGATACCAGGCCAGTCTCTCAAATTAGGCTTCGACTACATCTTTTTACATGATTTCCAATTATTTTTTTCTAATCGTACTATCAATCCAGGCTATATAGTCTCAGTTATTGACAGCAGCATTAAACAAACCACACGTAACATACACACAAAATATTACTTACAGTGACTACTTCAATTAATTCAGTTGTTTTCCTATTTTAGTATGTTGGAAGTTGGGGGGGGCAAAAATAAATATGGTCCATTATAAATCACGTGAAGTTTTTATCAGCAAATCACAAAGATATATTTCTATAGAAGTCGACAGAGTGGGGGGAAGGCGTAAGACGGGCACTCTCCCCCACTCCATAGATTAGAAAAAAAAACAATGAATTATACCAAATATTAATACATAAAATTAAAAATAATTTTTAGAAGATAAAAAAGATGTTTTATCCAGAAAATTCAACGGAAAGTTATAAACGTATATTTAAATGGATTAAACCGAGTTTTAAGAAATTTTTCTGACCCTTCCTCTTTAGAGAACTGAATGTGCTCCTACCCCTTACAAAATATCCTAGCAGCTCCCATGTGTTCGAAGTTGGTTGGCGCGAAAAGATTAGAAACGAAATGTGAACCTTTAATTGTTTTTTTTATATTTCCGATATTCTTCAATATGTGGTGTTCATGGATATGGTAACATGTGCTGTGGTATAGTTCCCAAATTTTCAGAGAAACAAACTATTCATCTACCAAACTATATTACATTACATTCTTGAAAACTTGTTTTAATATTCAAGAGTTCATCTTGTTGGATACAACACCGGTGTGTAGAATTTCAAGCGATGTTTCGGAGTAACATAACGCCTCCATACATTGTTTGTTTCTTGCGTGACTTCTTCATTCCTAAATATGAAGGAGACATGTTATTCTGAAACAACTGCTGACTTTCAACTTAAATGTTATTTCCAAAATGTAAAAATATTAATTCCCATTTTCCTCTCCGATTTTCGATGTAAAAGTAAAATTCTCCCGCGTAACTGGCAGGCTATTGACTTTATTAGTGTAAATATTTGGGGCACACGATAGCTTAGTTGATGGAGGCATTACGGTACAAGCCGGAAGGTCGCGGGTTCTAGTCCCGATGATGTGGATATTTCAATTTACCTAATCCTTCCAGCCGCACTATGGTGCTGGGATCGACTCAGCCTCTAATAGAAATGAGTGCCAGGAATATTCCAGTGGGTAAAGGGCGGCCGGCGAGTAAGGCTGACAACCTTTCCGCCATCTGTGAGCCAAGAATCTAAAGAAAATATGGGAGCCTCGACGTCTCACAATCTTATGGACCTTCACGCCCTGTTACAGGGAAAACTTTTACTGTAAATGTTTATTTATATTTCCTGATCCACGCGGCGGAAAAGGAACATGTATTGTTTTATATTTTTGTACAGAACTATAAGTTTAGGATAAAATAGTAGCTTCATAGCTTCAACCTACAAAGAATTTAAAGCATTCTTGATTCTTCTGTTTTCTCGGCCCGGTTCTGTATGTGATAATTTCCTTATTTGTTCAAAATTTGACTTGACCTACTCTTTCGCCCCAGAAGTACACAATGTATCAAATAAAAGACGCCAAGTGCACTTGGAAGTACTGCACCAGAATCATCTTTGTGAGTATAGGCATACTTGCAAGCACTGAATACATATTATACTCTTAGGAATGTGGGTCTATACATCCCTCCTCCATACTCCTTAATGGCATAGTGCTTAATTAGTCAAGAACAAGGACATCGCTTTTACTCTTCTTAGGAAAGTTCCCGTGGAAGTGTTAATGACTAATAATTCCCTCCAACTCCCACTACTTAGAACATGAAAGAAATAAAGGTAAAGCTATCCCTGTAACAGACAGTGGAGGCCCATAGAGTTGTGAGACGTCGAAGCTGCCATATTTTGTAGACATTCTGCTCACAGATGACGGTGAGGTTGTCAGCCTTAAGGGTCGGCCGCCCTTTATTCCCAAGAAGATTCCTGATACTCATTTCTGTTAGAGTCTGTGTCGATCTCAGGGCCAGAGTGGGGCTGGAGGGATTGGGTCAATTGAGAAATCCAATTCTCTCATTGAGAATCGAACCAGTGACCTTTCGGCTTGTAGCATGGTGCCTCAACCAACTACGCTACCTCGTGCTTCGTGTGGAGATATAAAATATAGAAACTGCAGATCAATCGATGATTCGAATTAACGAATAAATTCGACTACAAATAATGCTTTGGGTTTGTAATAGCGGGGGGGGGGGATTAGGCCCAACCCTCTTCCTTACAGCTCTTCTCCCGTTTCTCATTCGTCTTAACATACTGCAGCATACACAGGGGTTACTAGGCACTCCGTTTCTAGGCAACGGTTCAGTAAACACGTCCCTGCTGCAACGAATGAGAACACATCACTAGAGTTACTGCTGGAAACGGTGTTTTCTATTCGGTCTGTACAAAGTGGCTATAAGGAAGACAACTTGGGCGACCCAGTTATGAGTCAGTAGCACGTGTGGAGGCGGGTTCGAATACCTCCACCGTAGCCCTGCCAGTAGTAGGAGGTGACGAAAAGGGAACCCAGTGCCTCAGGTTTAACTGACCACCCTGTTCTTAGGAGTTATAAATACGGGGACCTGGCCCTCCAGGTTGGAGGAGTCTCAAATCTGCAACAGTAAATATAGTCATGAGTCCCATGGGACTCAGACCCGAGAATGACTGCTATGGCGAGGGCCAGCAGCAATGGTAAATTAAAGACCCGTCCTCTCGCCAGAGAGGATGTCACTTGAAGACTATGACTGCAAGAGTTCGGTTAAAAATTGCTGGTCGTGAGTCTCAAAGTGATTGGCGCAAAGACGAACTGATTGGCGGTAAGCCGCCAGTTGTGAAATAATTCTGACTCGTGACTCGGACTCCAACTGACCCAGTTAGTAAGTGTCAGTAATCAGTTAAAGTAAGTTTATGAAGAGAAGACTAAAAGGTTGGTTAGAAATGGCCGCCAGCCTGAGACTTACTCTGTTAAGAGTTGAGTTGTGCATGGCAGGCTGTGAAGATAGGACCTGAGCGTGGAAAGCTGAAGAATCTCCACTGTTAGAAGCAGTTGCTAGGAAACGGCTTTTGAAGACACTGAAGAGTGGAGATGACTTAGCGTGTACTGGTTTGTAAAGCATGAAGATAAGCGATCGCACTGTAAATATTCGTAGTTCTGAGTTGTATGGATAAGTGGTCAATAAATCTATTCACCAATCCATACCCCTTCTATAGTCACACACAATATGACGTCATGCAATCTGTATACTGATAGCGTTATTAGTCCACAATAGAGGAGCCTGAAATTGGGCCTAATGCGATAGGGTTAAAATATTATATTTATGGACATTTTCCGTCGTTCTGTTTATGTTTAAAGAGCCATCTTGTTTTTATTTAAAACACAAAGTTTCGGAGACTGGATTCTGTCTCTGTCTTCAGGTAAAATATCCTCAGTTGCGCTCCATCGATAGAGCTAGTCCCTACCTCAGACACCCGCACCGACACGAGGTAGGATATACAAATCAATGACAGCACAAACCATCTACGAGAGTTAAGGCAAAATATTAAAACATTAAAATAGTCCACATTATGAGGCCTAGCACTAGAGTACTATCAGAATATGAGTCATCATGGAAGAGATAAATAGGGTAAGTTCGGGTGTATGGGGCCATGGGGTTATTACACCTGTTTTCACCGAAATCTCCGGATCTGCATTATTGGTGGAGCAGTAATCGCCTCTGTCATGTGGACCACAGAGAGCGCGTTGGAGGACTGCGTGAACAGACGAACATGCTCGAGTGATACTTGTTTCCTTGCAGCTCTTGTGTAAGGTACGCTAAAAACAAGGCGTTTTTAAACATTCGTAGATATTAACTTTGCAGTTTAGTCAGATGTTATACTGAACTACAGTTTCTTGTTATTCTCTGTGAGATTTAAAGAGCAGTCATCTGATGACCCGGTCGGAATTTGTACCAAGCATCTCACGAACAAAATTATAACCACTGCGAGCAGCCTCCTCGGAAGTATCATGTTTCAGACAACTATTACGTGACATGGCTACGTCAGAGGGAGGTCGAGACTGGATCATGATAAGTTGCGAAACCCGTCCTCTCGAAGTTACATATATGTTGCGAGAAAGTTTCTGGGGATGTGCTAACGACTAAGAACATGAACAAAGTGATAACTGGAAGAAACTACTAAACCATGGCCAAACTTCAAAGGCTGTGCCGAAAATCTACATTCCTACTGCGTCTTCAGGGACGATCGTTGTGGGTGTCTGTCATTTTCACATAAATTCTAAACAAGTAATTACCGACGAAGGGAAGGCATGGGTTCGATTCCCGATGAGGTCATTGGATTTTTCAAATAACCCAATCCTTCCAGCTGCACTATGGCCCTGAGGTCGACTCAATCTCTAACACAAATGATTATCCGGAACTTTCATGGGGGGTAAAGGGCGACCGGGGCGTAAGGCTGATAACATTACCGCCATCTGTGAGCCGACTGTCTAGAGAAAATGTGGGAGCCTCGACGTCTCACAACCCTATGGACCTTCGCCGCCTGTTACAGGGACAGCTTTACCAACTGAATACTTGCTTTCATAGCCCATATGTAACATCCTCTCTGACGATAGGATGGGTCTGTCGTTTATAATTGCTGCTGGTCCTCGCCAGCGCAGTCCTTCTGAAGTCGGACTCCTGCAGGACTCGTGATCATGTTCTACTGCCTCAAATTCGAAACTTCTCCACCCTGGGGGGCCAGGTCCCGTATTTATATTTCCGCTGGCTGGTGTGCTCGTTACATAACC